TTGAGGAGAGTTTTAGCATTGACTCGAGGATGTACGTGTGGCTCTGCTGCTGGTCTGTTGATGGAGCCTGTGATTTCTAGGCCTGATAATTGAATTGTGTGCTGCCAGGAGGAAGCATGGAGACAGTTTCCTCAGGGACTGTCTCTTTCCAGTGGGATGCAGTTATGAGTTATATAATGGGACTTTGAGGGTAGCACAGCAGTACCTGAGCTCAGCTCCAATTAAAGTCAGCGACGGCCTCGCTGTTTCTACTTGTAGCTCCTGATGCAGGTTTTTGCTAAATCAGTCTCACCAGTCCTCCACGGTTTTCTCTTGGGAAGAGGAGACAAATTGCTGTGTTTCATTCAATTTGCTCTTAATGATAATGGGGAAAAATAGGTATGTTTCTAGCAGGGGGATGACACATGACATCCCCCAGCTGTACAGGCACCCTTTCTGAACTGGCACTGAGTTCCTTCCCACTGCAGGGAACTTCATCCAGGAGTTAATCCATGTGTGGCTGATGGATCAGTACACTGCCAAAATCTCCAAAACCTGGATGAGGTGTATTCCATAAACGGCTGTAAATTGCGGAGTTCGCTTGTGGATTTGCTCTGAACCTACAAGGCCAGATACTTCTTAAGCATAACTTGTAATTTCTTCATAATTCTTCACAGAAAGGGTGGTTAGATGTTGGAAGGGGCTACCCATGGAGTTGGTGGAGTCACTGTCCCTGGAGGTGTTTAAGGAAAGACTGGATGTGGCACTGAGTGCCATGAACTCGTTCATGTGATGGTGTTTGATCACAGGTTGGACTCCATCTCAGAGGTCTTTTCTGACTTAATTGATTCTGTGATTCTGTAATTGTTCCCCGTCAGATTCAAATGCTGATCTTAATATTTTCTTTGTAATGTGTTGTAAGGATATTAGTCCCATGGCTTTATTTTAAATAACCTCTTTAAAATGCAAAATAAAAATAAGAGTAACACAGAACTGCATATGTTTTCTTCCAGAGACATGCAGTGCTTTCATGTCCAGAAAAGGATAAAATGGAGTATTTCTGTATTAAAGAACCATTTCATTATGATTAACTATTCCCAGTAGAAGCCGTTGTTTGACTCTCTGTTTGAAGTTTGTTTCAGCAAATTGGCTTTTTCCCTTTGAAAACTTTGCCCAGATATTGCCATCCAGTAGCACCAAATGGTGCTTGTTTACCAAACTGGCTTGGTTTTTCCAAGGTTTGTTTTGCTAGCGCTCTATCAGGCAAACTTTGAAGGCAGTCTTGTGTCTTCTGGTAGACTGACTGGTATATTTAGAGGAAGCTTTAGATAAGCTTTCAAACACCCAGGTTCTTCTTAGGGTTGGAAATGAGGAGCCACAGGTTTCGCAGCTGAGTGGAAAATGAGTTTACCGAGTTTAATTAGCTGTGCATGAGTTAGACCGTGTCCTGAGCTGGCAGGGGTTGGGAGCTGTGCTCCACAGTGGCTGGCAGCACGTGGCAACATTGCACACACTGGGGAAAAAGAGACTTTCCAGCAGCCAGAAGGGATGTGGAGATGGAGGCTGAACAGAGCAATGTGTGACTTCCCAGCCGCAGTGAGCACTCGGAGCAGGGTGGAATTGTTTCCCTTAGGGATGTGCATAAAATGATTGGCACCCTGGACCAACTCACCCCTGCAGCTGTTGCCACGCACACCTGCTTTTCCTGGTCTCCTTGACATAGTTCTGTGGAATTCGGTAGGACAGTTGACGCTGCTCCCAGCCCGCCGTGCTGCCCGTGGCTCTTCGGGATGGATGAGGAACCCTGCTCTCTAGCTGGGGTTATGTCACAAGCAAGTTCCCAAGACACTCTGACTCACCTGGCATCATTTTGGGCAGTTTAAAATAGAAGTGAGCCAGATCCTCAGCTGGCATAAATTGGTGTTACTATATTAAATTCAGATGGGCCTAATTCTAAGTGCTGAAGAAGTCACTGAGGGTTGCACAATCTCTTGCCTTTGTGACTGTGTGCTTACCCATAAAAGTGAGATTGCACAAGGCACCCTCTGTGAATGCATCTCTGTCCCAGCTGCTAATTGAAAACAAAGATGGTGGGATTAATAATTCAGTTCTCTGGGATTTTTGTGTTAAAAATGATCGGAGGGATCCACCATTAAGAGATGTTACTTTATTGCAAGATAAGTAAGTCCCAACAGCAGTGACTGGAGGTCTCTAAACAGGGCAGAGTTGGACTTGCAGAAGGTTTGGTGGTTTTTATTTATTTATTTTTATTTATTTTCCTTTTTTTTTTTTTTCTCCCCAGTTGCTATGGCTTCCGTGCCTCCTGCACAGAGTGCAGCCTGCAGGCCTGCCTGGAGGAGGTCATTAGCAAAACTCCAGTTGGCTTAGGTGGAGGAGGGCTTGGGCTGTTTTGCTGCACAGGAAAAGGGGCATTTTTCTGGCCGCTCCCCAAGTGTGTCTTCCCTTCGCAGAAATCTGCCCCTGGTTTGCAGCAGGGCAGTAGGAAACGGTATTTTCTCTTGTTTGCCAGGAAGTTGATCTCTGCCCTCTTAATTAGCTGTTTGAAAGACGAAAGCGAATGCCTCCGAGTGAGGGAATTCCAGGCGGTTTTTTCAAACCAAAGAACTCCTAAGAAATGGCACATTAGGAATTCTGATTTATCCAAGTCCCGCCAAATGCTGGGATTTTGCAGAGGTGCAGATCCTGCTCTTGTCCTGTTATTTTAGGGCACAGGCTGCAGCACCTGTCAGGCTCTTGCTTCTGGAGACCTGAACATATGGATCAAAACTCCAAACCAGCTCTGTACCTCATCCCCCTGCATCCAGGAGGATGCAGAGCTGAGCAGAGTTGTTCTGACTCCTTGACTGTCCCTGGGAGTGCTGGTCACTGCCTTTGCTTTTCTTGTGTCTCTTCTTAATGTGCGTTATTCCACTTTAAAGGGTCTTTTTACCTTTGTTTTTTAAGTAAGTTATTAATTCAGTTTGCTTTTCTCTTTTTTTAAAAAAATGGTAAAATACCAGCCCAATCCCACAAAAAAACCTCCCCAACCCTTCCCCCCCCAAAAAAAAAAAAAAAAAAACAACCCAAACCAAGCGAGCAAACAAACCAAAAAACCTTGCAACATTCACTGTGTGTGGGTCAGCCTCTTTGTGTAAGATCTGGTTTCCTTCAGCATATTTAATTTCCCTCATGTGTTCGCTGTTAAGGCCTTTATTTTTAGGGCTCTTTAGTCCTTTCAGTCATCGAAATCTGATTTTTATGACATGGTCTGCATGTGCCTGCAGCTTCTGTAGAACATTTCACAGTGGGCTGGAGACCATTTCAGAGTGTGGGGGTTATTTGTTGTGGTAAATACAAGCCTTGGTTCTTGCTCTGAGTGCGACAAGCCCACATTTAGCTCGTCTGCAAGCGAGATCAGCTTCCATCTAGGCTTGAACATCGGGTTCCCAAACCATGGGGTGCTCCTGAGCTGGAACAGGGACAGCTGTAGGCAAGTTTTTAGGTACAGTGATCAGCTGTCCCCATGGGAAGCTCCAGGGCCTGTGTCCATATGCCATGCGTAGTGGTGGAGTTTGGGTTGTTTCCTAGAGAGGTTTACAAAATATCACCTTTTATGACCCTGCTGATACTTCTTTCTGATCTGGGCAAGTTTCATTACCCTTGCCCTCTTCTGGGCAAGCCAGAACAAAAAGTAACAACCTCAAAAGTGCAAGTTTCCCCTCAACAGGCTACACGAAGAGGGGGGAAAAAAGTGCTCGTGGAGCTCAGGAAATACTAGAACAGCAGGGAATTGGGATAGCTGTGGGGGACAGAGGAGAACGTGGTGAACGTGCAGTCACGTGAATATTTGTTGGTAGAGGTTGCATCTTGATTGACAACAAAGGTCTGTAAGAGCTGTGCAGAAATGTCTCTCTTAAAATGGAAAAAAAAAAAAAAAGAGGATCCAAAGTAATTCATGGCAAAATAGCATGTCCATGAGTTATTTTTTTTTCTTATTTTAATTTAAAAGAGAAGGAGCAGTGGCTTTGTCCAGCACAGAGATTTCAAATTCCCCACACGGTATTTGCAATTACTTATTTCAGGCTATATTTAGTCTGTCATTGAGCCACTCTACCACAGGTTATTAGTCCAAATGCTGGTTGTAAGTGAGGCAGAGAGTTTTAAGATGTGCTTCAAGGCAGCCAAGCAGTGCTAAATCAGGTCAGATCTCTTGCTGTCCTTGCAGGACAGTTGGTGCTGCCCCTGGCAAAGCACGAGTGGTGCCGTGTGGATGTGAGCGCTTCCAAGGGATCGGGCAGCCAGGAATAGCACTGCCCCCATCTCCAGCATCCTTCCTCCTTCCCAGTGCTGAAATCAGGGAAAGGAGGATCTCCATGTCACACGTGGGGAGGGGAGGGCAGGGATTTGCCCCACAGCAGCTGTCACCACGTGCCAGTTTTACTCCAGTGGGATAACCCATAACTCAAGGGCAACTCATGAACTATGAAATGCGTGTCAAAAGCACATTTTTTTTTTTTACTAAGCAGCAGCCACTGCAATAGCTGGAACCTGTTATCTTTGTAGTTACAACACTTGTTGGAACCTGTTATCGTTGCAGATACAACACTTGTTGGGTTTCACGTGTGCTTTTCGGAACGTCCTGCCAATAACGAAGCAGGTTTTCCGTTGCAGAGGCAGGTTCTCTGTTTGCAACCGTGCCTTTTGCACACTGTGACTAGCATTCAAACACTAAAATTGTATTTAAAAAATTAAAACAAAAGCTCAGCAGCTGCTATTTAGTGAGGCAGGAAATCAGCTTGGCTTCTATATAATCTATATATCAAAAGGGATCTGCATGCTGTTGCTACTGGAATCACTTCAGTGCACCAGAGCTCTCCTTGAAGCTGATCCCAGTTTGGACAAGAATCATTGCCAACAGTCAAAACCCCTGCCAGATGTGGGAAGTGGGACACTGATAACACAACAAGGCTCTTGGAATGATGTCATAATCGTTTGTATTGCAATTTTTTTTTTCCTTCCAGGAGACCGAGCTGCTGGATATCAGCCTCGTCAAAGATGCCAGATGTGGAAAACATGCCAGAGCTCCCAAGGTAGGAATTCTTGCTGTGTGCTTCCATGTTACATTGTTGACCTATGCAAAAAAAAAAAAAGGGCAATGATATGCAAGAACTTAAAAAAAAGAAGTAGCATTTTGCCTTTTCCTCATGTAACACGGTTTGTGACCAGAAGTGTTGGGATTGCTGAGCTCTTGTTGTTGGATTCTGCGTGGAAAATGCTGCCAGGGAACAAAAATCCTGGTTCATCGAGGTACACTTGCAAGTTGTTGGCTTCCCTGATGGCAAGGAGCTGATGTTTGCTTAGGTCCCTGTTGTACTTTGTGCTGCTGATTTCCCTCTTTTCCTCTGGAGGCCGGAAGGAGGTTTTTGGTTCTTTTTGATCTGCCATCAGGGAGGTCGGGATGTCGGCTCCCTTCAGCTTTGCCCTGATGTGTTGCACACTCCTCTGCAGTCCCTGAAGGCAGGAGGTTGTAGATAGACGTTCTCTCTGGTGTTTTTGTTTGGACAGACACAGAGGGAAAACCAAAGCACTCGAGCTCCAGAAGCAAGACAGACCCTCAGGGAATCTCAGGGGGGAAAAAAAAAAAAGAAAGGAATCTCCTCCGGGGCTTCAAAGTATGGCCTTGCTGCTGCTGAGCTGTGGTTGGACATCCCAAAGGAATGATCCTTCTCCCCTCATCCTGAGGGAGGAAAATGGCAGTGGCTTCCCAGGAAGCACACATGGCACAGCCCCACAGGCTGCTCGGCCCCCCAGGGGCAGGAGCTGGGAACAGAAAAGGTCGTCTCTCTCTCTCTGTGCCAGGATGCACTTGTAGTTATCTCCGAACAGACCATTCACATTTGGTTTTCAAAGCTTCCCATGTAGCGCTGGCAGCATTTTAAAGGCTGAGTTATAATTGAAATGCAGCAGAAGTACTTTGTGACATGCACATTAATACCAAATGAGAGCACCGTGATTAATGGCTCTGCGATGAATAGCGATAAAGTATTAACAATGTCTAGGACATTATTTTAAAATGCTACCCATTTTACAGAGGACATTCATGTGCTTCTAACAAAATGTTTTGAGCTGAAATTTATGCACAGCTATTGCCTTGGTGACTTTTATTTATTGGGTTACATAAAGGCTGTTTTTGTTACAGCACGTTACGGGTTTGACAGCGGTGGCATTAAGTGAAGGGTACGAGAAAACCCCCTCTCCTTAGGGGGGTGAAATGCACCACCTGTATGAACCAGTTTGCGTTTTGTCATCGATCTGTGTGTGGGCAGAAGGAAAACAGCACCTGGGTTGGCTGTTGAGGGGGTGTTGCAAATGGTGTGGGGAAAAAAAAAAAAAAGAAAAGCTCATTTTGGGGCCAGTGGTGTAAGTTGTGCTTTGATCCGAGTTGTGGGGCTGAGCAAAGGAGCGTTGACTGCAGGTGTATTTAGTGTATTTCTGGTCTAGTGCTGCCTTTGGATAGAAATAAGTGTCTTTTTAAATAAGCCTTGGTTTAAAAAAAAAAGAGCAATTTTTTTTTTTTTCAGTAAACTCAATTTGTGTCACTAACAACATCGATAGGAAGGTGCTGCTACACAAGACCATCACCAATACTGACTTTAGAGGACTACAGGCAGTCCTAGTTATCAAAAACCAGTATGTTCTCATGCTGCATTCGGTGTACCTTCCTAATTTCCTATAAAAGCCAAAGAAACACCAAGGGTTTCTCAGTTTCTCCATCAGCCTTGTTGGCTGACATTCTCTTTTCACAGCATTTCTCCACAAGTCCAGACACACGTATTTTGTGACTGTTCTTGCACGTCTGTCGTTGCATCTTCCTGGGTTTCTCACCCAGCAGTTCTGGTTATTTTCTCCATTCCCTCTCAGGAATAGCCTAAGAGTTTATCCTTAAACGTTCCCTTGCAGACACAGAAGCGCAGCTTCAATCCCGGAATTGTCACGTTAAGGTAACACGAGCAGTGAGCTGACATCACCTCAAGGTTTGTGCAGGCACTCAGAGTGCAAAACCCCATCTCCTCCTCCTGCAGCTTCTGGTTTGGGATGATTATTAGAGTCTCCTGAAGGCTCTCTCTCACTCTTTTCATTGCTCAGAAAGGCACCTGCTAAAGAAAGACCTTCCTGAGGACCTCAGGGACAGTGACCCACAGAAACACATCACTCGATGCCTGGGAGGGGGAAAAGCTTGTCCTGCAATCCCAGAGCAGTCAGCAGCTCACTGGAATGACCCCGTGTTTGGGAGGAGCCTCAGCACTGCCTTCTCTTTGCACGTCTTCAGGGATGGCTCCTTCTGTCTTCCTTCAGCTGCTATTTTCAGAAGCAGTAACAGAGTTTGCTGCCTCGATGCAATATACATGGAAAGGCTGATTCCTGGGAATGAAGGCGAATCTCAGGCAGCACAGGGCATTGCAGCAGATCTCTACACGAGAAGAGAAATTAAAGGAATGCTCTGAGGAGAATGAGAAAAACCACATTAATTGCGTAGGTTAGGAGAAAGGGCCTGATTTCAGAATACAATGAAATTATACAGAAGTGATGGAGTTATAAAATGATTATCAGGACTTTGCCCTTTTAGTTTGCATTAGAATCAGACAGGAAAGGGAGCAAGAGGAATTTCGAGCACAGGAGATTATTATGCAGTTAATTTTTCCTTCAGAAGATGTGACTGCCCATAATTCCAGCCGTGGCATGTGCTGCTCTCGGGCACTCGGAGCTGTGTGAGCCGTGGAGCAGCAGCAGGGTGGGTGCTCAGGGCTTACACTCATGGTTTGAAATGCTGAAAGGATGTGAAAACCAAGAGTTGTGCTCAAGCCATGGTTTGTTTCCTTTTATTCACACCTTACCTGGAGCTTGGTGTTGATGTGCAGGCCGAGAGATGCCTCTTCCCTTGTAAAGTTCAGTGTTGAGGTCCTTAAAATAAAATAAAATAAAATAAACATGTGCTTTTGTACAAGGAGGCATGGAAACAGCTCTGGGTGTTCACACACCTTTTGCAAACTGGGGAAGTGCCACTCAAAAGAGGGTCCATCAGGGAGTCATGGCTAAGAAGGTCAGGCACCAGTCAGTCCCGAGGAAGGGTCAGGTGGTGAAAATTTGGCAGCTGCAAGCTCACAGGACGAGGGAATTCACGCTTCTTCCCGTCTTGGATTTACTTTAGCCAACAACAGTTTCTATGGAAACTAAAATCTTAAAGCAACTGGGTGAGTGTTTCTGCCAGGGAGAAGAAATATCAGGATGAGTTGACAGGGGATGGGGAAATAACCCCATGGCAAATGCTCATATTGGAAACTTCTGATGCATCTGATCAGTCTGGTTCCCCTCGGCATCCTGGTTCCCCCTCATAAATCATGCAGCAGGAAATGAATTTCTTTAAATAACATGTACTGTGAAACCTGTAGGAGATGAAATTATGAATGATGGAATCACTCTCATGCCAAAATGTGTTTAGAGAGCAGTCCCCAGTTTTGAAACAGCTCATGGTTCCCCTGCCCCAAATTTTCTCACTTTAACAAGCCAAGCTCTGCTGAGAAAAATAATTCAGCTGTTTGAATGTCAGAAATTTGCCAAGACCCCACCTACTATTAATATCAGCACCAGCCTTTCTCTGTTTAATGGGTTTTCTTGAAATATTCAAGTAGAGAGAGATGATTTTGGGTCTAACTCAGCTGTAGCTGAAAAACTACGGTGGAAGGTTTGCTGGTTTCTGACACATCTGTAGAGGAAAATCAGCATTTCCTGAACTAGGTGGGCTCGGAAACTCAAAGGAAAAGCTACCAAGCAAAGAACCCTTGGTTGATTTGCTTCTGAATTAGGCTCTAATTGCTAATTTATGAGCCCAGTGACTACAGCCTGTCACAATAAACCTAAATCAATCACTTGCTTTCCTCGTGGTATCCGAACTTGCCTTTTTGCTGGCAGCCCATGATTTTTATGGCCAGGTTGTTTGTTTTCCTTTTGTTCAAGAGAACAAAAGAGGCCTCAATCACTTCCAAAAGATTTGAAAGGAGACCAATTCTTCTTCTCTTTATCATAAGAAGTCTGTGTGGGGACATACATGTTTTGTTTAGTGACAACGATTAGGCTGCACGTGGGAAATGGCAGATTTTATTTTTATTTTTTGCTTTTTTGGTCCACACAGTGAATTCCCTGGCAGAGCCAGCTATGTGCCTGGATCCCACAGCAGAGCAACCCACCCACACCCGCTGCCCTTTGCACCACCAGCTTCTGGGGCTTCGCCCGTCTCCAACTCTGCTTTTGATGTTATTTTTAACCTCCCGGTAAATGCAAGCTGCTTTCCCTTCAGCAACCTTGATGCTAAATTAGAAACTCTAATGTAAATTATGCCTAAGCAGTGTTCTATTTCTGCCAAAAAAAGAAGTAAAAACGGAATATGCATGCAGCTCACCTCCTTCCCACTCACCTTGGGGATAACAGTGACAGCCACAAACACCTGCCCCAAACTTGTTTGTTCCTTTACGTAACTGCTTTTTTTTTTTTGGGGTAATACTGATGAAGTTACATAAACATGTTCCCCAGGTTGAGTTTTACTTTATTGAGGAAGGTTAAAATGGAGTTGTTTGGATGGTACATGGCCAGTGTGGTCACAGTGGTAAAGATGCGGAAGTGCAAGTAGTTGAGGTTCCCGGAGAGTGGGAGTTGTGGCTGCTGAGAGTGAGGGGGTTTTGGGCCTTGGACCATCCCTGGGGAGGGAGGGGTTTGCTCTGCCCTCCTCTGCTCACTTCCCTGCAGCTTGGAGTCACCTCTTCTCCAGGCTGACCTGGCTCCCAATGGCACCCAGCAGCTTTTGCTCTTCCAAATTTTTCCCCACCGGTGCAGGATTTATTCTGAAAAGGTCTCCCTGCTCCCAAAGTAAAGCCCTGTAGCTTGTTCAGGGATCAAAGCAAGGTTCTGCATGGCCAAAGGGCTTGGGGTTGGGATTTGTTGGTAATTTTCTTTTCTAAACCTGTTGAAAGTTGACTTGTTTGGGAAGAGTCTCTGTCCCAAGAGAGAGCTGTTGGTGCTTCTCTCCGGGGAGCCT